ACAATTTTTAATATTATTTTGATTAATAGATATAATATGTTATATTTATTTAATATTTTTTCGTATGCAATTGGATGCATGATAAATTAAAACAAATGAAAATGTAGTTTTTTTTTTTTAACTTTAAAACCTATAGTTGACCAATTTTATTTTAAATAAAAATCAATAGTTGATTAAATGCGTTGTTTTGTTTTCGTCGAATATATTCATTGGTGAAGCTAGTCAACAACATTTAATGCGATTACCAAACTTCTTTTAAAAATTAATTTCAATTTAATGGCTTCTGCATTTCAAGTCGTCTAACTTAAATTTTTTGACAATGGGCATACTCAAATGTACAGACACTATTATTGTTTTACTTGTAAGAATATTAAATAATTTTCTTCAGTTGTATTGATGGCAGTGACGTTTTTGGAATGTGAGAGAGGTTGGGAGGAGGGTGTGATTGCAACCACCGGTATTGGACGTGATGAATTTGTTTTGTTAAATAAACTCTATAAAAATTAATAACTATGATGACAATATATTACTTACAGTTTATAATTAATRTTAGGTACCTATTTACGTAAGTCTTAAAAAGGAACGACAGTCATCTACGGAAAGATATTTGAAATAATAWTTTATTTTGAATATTTTTTCGTGCCGAGGTTTTAAATTCGTCGCACCTCCCCCTAAGTTTGATCTAAACCATTATATTATGTACCGATCAATAGTCACAGCTGTTTCATACAAAATATATTATACATGCATATTATTATAACGATAATTACTATTGTGTTGACAATACGATGTCATGGGTAGTCGATTCGTTTCCCACATATCGCGTTGTTACAATAATTTCCTATTTTATAAATAGGTAGCAATAATAATAATAATATTGTATTATGGACGGCCAACGCGCATTGTTTGCCCACGACGACATTCGCAGTTGCGGCCATTGTGTCGTAGTACGATTAAAATGTTTCATCAAATATAGGTTAATGACACGATTTTCAAAAGAGTCCTGCAACAAAAAGGTTTGGTACAAAAAATAATWTTACATTATATTATAATATATTSGGGAACGACAATATTTTTTTTTCATCCGCCTTCTAATAAATTTCGATACCAAAGTTGCTGTTTGCGTTCGCACTTTGCGACGGATATCCGAGTYGGACGAAACGTCWGAGTAGACAGAGATCACGCGCTCATAATATTATTTTATGCTCACGGTCGTGTGCTGGACGACGAGGAGAAGTGTAAATCGCGAGGAGAGGAAAAAGAAAGTAAAACATTATGTTATCAAATAATACGTTTTGTGCACAACTCGTCGTTGTTGCTTATATTGTTTTGAATATATTATTATTGTTCTCATTTTTTTTTTTTTTATATCATTCCGTTGTGCGTTATCATTATCACGATAATATTATTAATATATACGTATGACCAACGATATTATATTATAGGTACGCGTATTGGCTTTCGCTCGAAATTTTATTTTAAGGATCTCATCACGGAATATATCTTAACGATTTCCATAGAGACACTCGCCCATCGCACGTGGCACCCCGCGGCTTTACACACACACACACACACAATATATATGCTACGAAGACGTATATCACGTTTATATACTTAAATATTAATAATAATAAATGGTTAGTATACCTAGGTATACGGACATTAATAAAATGCATAGGTATCACACTCTCTCGGTATAATACCGCACTGTTATTAGAAATTCACTTTCGGTCTTAAACTGCACGATATAAAYAGGCTCTAGCTGGAGACGTTGACCTTGTTTTTCCTGAAAAACATAACGTTTCATTAGACGCCGAAGTGTTACCAAGGTCGTTCAAACCCTAGCGCCGCACCGAGGTACCTATATATACCGTCAGCAATTATGTCCGTTTCCGTTTTTAAACCGTGCGGTGTTTAAGTACAGGTATCATCGGAATGCGTATTGGCCATAAGGTATATAATAATAATATTTTTGAAATTATTAATGATATTATTACAGTAAATTATACCCGGCTAAGCTTGTTTTCAAAACGTCGAACGAAAACGTTAAATCATTTTGGATTTTACCTAGGTGTAGGTATATACAATATGATGTATACTATACAACTATTATAGACGTATTCGAAATAATACGTTGGCGTTATTAACTACGTATAATGACGTTTTTGGTCTCCATTCTATTCGTACAGAGTCGTCTAAATATAATATAATATTATATTGTATAGGTACCTACGTTTCACGGAATAACACAATTATTATAAATAATCGTCTGTGATGTAGGAGTTGCGTTTTTATTCTGTTTTTTCTTCTCATCTCCGACCCATTTGTAATGAGTTTTTTTCCCCCAAACTCTAAATTCTATTACGAAATTTTAATTTCTTGTTCGCAAGTACCTATAGTACCTTCAGTATATAATTTCCAAGGTCAAAACTATATTATAATAATAATATTATCTATTGTACAGTAGTCTCGGTGCATAATATCTCATATAAGCACGACATGTGCCATTCGTACGACCGTCGACTTCTTCACATTAACAGTAAATAATAATGATGATATGGTCGCGTGTCATGTTAAGCAAAAAAATAAATAATAGTTCGGAGTTAAACATGGTATATAGGGCAACGAAGTCGAGTCGGACATGCTGGTTTTATTCTTTTTTTTCGCAATTTATAGTCCTTAAACAATTTAGTAAGACGAAGCCTCAAAAGCACTGMAACTTGGTAACTTGGATTTGGAAGGATCAAAAAATGTTTGCTATACAATATAATATACAGAGTGATTCTTATTCTGAGGAYTTTTAAATGTACTTGTTTTGCCATGTAATGCCTTATAATGCTATATTATTTTCTCACGACTTCTTATTTAAATTTTATGCACGATTTTAAGAAATTTCCTATCGTTCATAACGACTTGTTTTTGAAATCAAGGAGATCTTCTCTCCTAATAATTGTTGATCTGATGACTTTTTCAAAAATGTCGGCGTACTTAAGAATAGATATTTAAATGAGTTTAGATTTTGAGTTATTTCACTTTGTAGACTGAGGAATATTAATATATACAAAATAAACATACTAAAATTACAGAAAATAGAATAGTTAAAATTATGATTTGGATAGGTACATCGACATTTTCAAAAAAAAAAGCTTAGTTATCATACCTACATACTCACACTGATTAAGATTGTTTTTATTTAAAAAAATATATATATAATTTTGTATCGCCACTCATACCTATCGCTATGCACTCCCGAATGGAATAGAAATCTGAATAATTTCAGAATTAGGTACCTATAGTCGGATCTCGAATTTATTATTATACTTAAAAGTTTCAAAAATCTGAATTCAAGTAAACTCGTTGACAAACAAATAAACGGTTGCAGCATATTATATGATATATCTGGTGATCAACACGCAGTATACAGTAATAATAATATTATGACGAGTGCAGATTCGTCCTGTCGAAACCGGAAACGGGAAATACGTAACACGAYAACCGTCCACTTGGTTTCCAATCTTTCTGGCAATTTCCTCGGAAGCTCATCGTCGTCGTGTCGA